AGTACATTACACAAAATAGATCAATAAGTTAAGAGGGAAATTATCCCACCAGCACCAATATTACTAAATGGGGTAGATTACGAGGTTTCAATTGAATTTCATGTTTGTTTTTATAAAATAAAAATCCATTAGATGAAATTTTAATAGCATTGGCTGTTGAATATATAAATATTTGATGTTTATGTGACTATATACCTTTATGAAAGTAAGAGATCAAAGGCACATTATTTATAAAAAGTATTTTCTTTTAATAAATGATAAATTGAGCTATTGGTTTGGAGCGACAGATAGTTAAATGGTTCAATTAAAATGAAAATAAAATTAAAAACCTGTCTCGCAAAAAACAGCTCCATACGGTTTGATATGGGTTTACACAATTTTATTGCTGGCTCTTCAGAATACTTTTAGAGGGCGTATTGCTTTGATGTTCTATCTAGAAGCGGAGTTATTAAAAACTCTTGAAATAATTGTCAATTCTAATGAACGGTAAAATTTTACTTTAAAAAATATATATCATGCATAATTACAAATAAAACTAAATAGATATTTAATAGAGACGGTACCAGCAATAAAATGGTGAGAAATTTTGTCTTCCGTCATCCACAAAATTATAAAAGTGGTGTATTATTAACGTGAAAAGTTTGTACAGTGAAACAGAAAATACATATAAATCATTTCTTATTTTAAGTTGGATAAGATTTATAATGACTTCTTATTGATCAATTTCTTTTCATAATAAATATTCGCTATTTAATACCACTTCACGATTTTTTATTATGACTCGAAGAAGTCTTCATTTTGGTATCTCCAAACAGATGAGACTTTAACATGACTCGTAAATTTTATAAAAAGTTTTTATTTTTCTCACTCTGATAGTTTAAATCTGTTCATGACAACATAAAAAGTTTGATAACATATTTACTATCAACCGTAACAAGTCATAAAATCCTATAATATCTCAATCGAAAAATGAAACCATACGTGAGAGTAAATAAAGAAATAAGTAATTCAATCACTTATAAATATCCTTATAAAAAAATTCAACAAATTTACGAACCTTCGAAACGCTTAGATTACATCTAAAGAAACCGAAAATGTATGTGTGGAATTGAATTTGCTTTTTTCCTTATATTTGCGAAATTCCTTTCTGATATTTTTGCTTGAGGCATTTGAATTATCATATTTTCTTTCTTTAACATGAAATATTAATATAGTAATGATTTTTTTCTCCTTATTTTTTTAAGGTACTCAGTATTTTTCTTTATTGTTTTATGCCAAGACATTTACTAAAGGTCACATTGTATTTATATATATTATATATCAATTCTCATGTGAAAAAACGAATGATATATGTTGTATTTATAAACACTTCATTGTTTATAAAAGCGTGACGTCAGTTATACTGTTGTACGTCACCAATGGCTTAGTTCTTGATTGTCGTCAGACTCTCAGACTATTAAAGGTAACCTTGAAGACGACTTGAGGAATCCTCTATTTCCAAGAGGTCCAATCCCCACAAAGGCTCGATCGTGAATGTTTTTAAAATGTGCCCTCGCCTCTATTTATGCCAACCAACACACATTGTTGTGACTACACTTGAACAGAAGGCTACGCAGGTTATGCAGGTGGCACCTGACTATTTTAACCATCGATAATTATTAATAAAGTAAATAAAATGTATCTCCTCCGATGTGTATATAATTCATATTGTTAAAAATAAAAGATGAACTAATTTTTGTTCTATCTACTCCATTATATCAAAACTATACGAAACAAAAAATTTGCTCTAGTTGTCACTTACATATTTTATACTTACTAATTAGATTTGTGGAGGTTTGTGGCACAAAAATTTAGTATCATAATAGCCTTTTTACTTATTAGGAACAAAATAGTATCTTATTCGGATACATAATGATAAAATGACAAAGAGTCAGTCCAATAATAAAAGAATACACATTATAGCGTCTTTTAGTGTATCAGGATGTATAGTAACAACGTATATGGAACCGCAAGCCATAAAAAGTCGTGGCAATTTAAAATTTAAACATAATTAAAACTTATAAGCTTTGTTATTTGTTACGTAAGTGTTAGGAGTTGTTAGTTCACAACAAACTCAAACGGATCATTAAAAGTTTTGATAAATATATACAAGAGAATAAACATGGAATGTTTATTTATTGTTATTATTTAAGCTACTTAATGTTTCTTGTCCTTATTAAGTACTTATATGTAATGACTGTAACAAAGTTTGAGTTGTATTGATATTTAAATTAAGTTAAAGATAATAACAAAATTGTTGAGCATTTTTTAAATGACAAACCTGCTGACGCTCATACATCTGAATATACTTCTACTCGTATTGTATAATTGTAGTACAATTTGCTACATAGCCTTTTATTTTGTCTTCAACTTTATTTTACAAGTGACACTAATAAACAACTCTTAGCACTTAATAATATTATGAAAGATGAAGTTTATATTATACTAGCTTTAACCCACGACTTCGTATACGTTAACATCACAGTTGTTCAATTCACTGATTCCGAACTGTTCTTTACGGTTACACCTGTGTGGTTTAACGCTCGAGGTAAAAGGCAGCTTATATCTTTCTACAGGGGTTCATCTGTCTTCGTACCAGAAGAAATCAAAATCACTTCAGTGGAAACGTTAAAGTCAGACAGACGGAGTGAGTTTGACATCCATAATATTAGTCGGGATACTATTCTAAGACTTTAATTGAAATTAAGTAATTAAGTGATTTCATGATTTCTTACGGATTCTCAATTTTTTTTAAATAAAATAAAACTTTTTCACAAATGGACTGTTTAACAGTAAACAAATTTTTTCAATCGGACTAAGAGTTCTTGAGATTAGCGCGTTCAAAACAACAAATAAACAAACTTTGCAGTTTATGATATTAATATAGATATAAAGATACACTCGTAATTTTAAAATAATATCACATTAACAGTGTTTAACTTATATATTTGACGTATATTCGTATGTATTGTATATTATGACTTATGTTCGTCCAGAAGCAATTGTAAATTAAAATATTAGTATATTTTATTATTAAAATGATGACAAAATTATCCAGCGTCGAAGCTGTGAAAATGACACGTCTAATCATAAATCAAAAGAACAAAAACCAGTGTCTTTCAAGAGGTTCTTTTCTCGAGTATAAGCGAGAATAAAGTGAAAATTATGTTTGAAACTTTAGAAAACCTCTTGCACGTGTTGATGGGTGCGAGTGTCCTCATTCTCATTGATTTCATGCGTTCTTTTACGTAGAAATAAAATATATATAATTTAAACACTAATGCACTTGAAATATACGTGTTTCACTTTATTATAATATTTTTACAGCAATATTAGTCTTACGGATTAACACAACAAAATTATGCTAATTCATTTGGTACTATGTTCTAGACCAGTATTATTTACTTGTTTTGATATGATACGACGCTGCTTTGTGAAATGATTATAAAATTCATATAATTTAATATTTATAAATTTTAGTAAAAAATCATTTGACATATTTGACAATGTGCAGTATTATTTATTACCTAATCTTAATAACATTACATAATCTCAATCACATTTTTATTAGATATATAAATATATTTGAATATTGTACAGATAATATCAATTAAATGTTTAAAAACATTACATAGTACTGAAAGATATTTTTAAATGTGTAGCAAATTGGGTAACGTTTACGTCAAAATACAGTTAAGGAATAGATTAAGTATTGTTATTACTGTACGATGGTTATCATTCAGGTTAACTATCGCGTGACCATATAAGTTATCTAATGGGTAGTTAGTACTTTAAGATGTCGTTACTATATGTGAATGGGTGTTAGCATGTACTTTTATGATTGTTATGTATTTATATTTATTATAAGCGTGTCTAAGTTATTAAATAAATAATATTGTTTTTAAAGAAATGTTGACCATACGATTATCAAAACAAAACCTATTAAACAGTTTAGTCAAAAATATTATGCCTATTATACATTAAATATTATAAAAAATACTAAAATTGTTTCCATCTTTTCAGATCGGAAATTTTCTACAACCGCTGACACTAATGAAACAATCCGCAAGCGGGATATTGAACTAGCAGCCACTCCAACCACCTTTCTATTGCAATAAAACAACACGATCGACTAAGGATACGAACAATTGAAAATAAACTCTATTACCTGGACCAAACAGAAGAGTTATTTTCAATCATACAATCCAATGGCTCTATTCAGAATTGGAAGGACGATCCAGGCGATATGTCAATTAAAGCCTATTTCTGAATGTAATCAGTTACGTCGCTCCAAAACGAAGCAGTTACATGACGAAGTTGTTTTTCAAACCTGATTTCGCTATTTATTTGAGTTCGATTTTATCATACATTAATTGAATTGGGAAGGAATTATCATTAAGTAAACTGTAAACCCAATGCATGGTAATCATAGCACAAGATTAATCGTCACCCACCCCAGGGACTCGTATGGCGGGTCTAAATCTTAATAACCACTGTTCACGGCCTAGCTTTGTTACTTTACCTTCGTGTCTTCTCATACTAATATTTTTATTACTGCAAATAGATTTGGCCATAACAAATGATTTCAATGATTCAGATTCCATTTTTTATTCAACTCAGAATTCTTCACTAAATTGGACTTTTTACGATGCTAATGATACGAATGGCAAACATTTACACATCAAACATTCTAAATATTCAACAGTTGTAACGGTTCTTTTAGCAGCAATATTCATGATAGTAATATTTGGAACAATTGTTGGTAATATCTTGGTTTGTGTCGCTGTCTGTTTAGTCCGAAAGTTGAGAAGACCTAGTAATTATCTAATTGTTTCGTTGGCCGTAAGTGATCTTTGTGTAGCAATGTTAGTGATGCCAGTGGCAATGGTCTATGACTTGTTAGGGTCGTGGCCGTTTGGACCAGTGGTTTGTGACTTCTGGGTATCAAGTGATGTGCTATCATGCGCGGCAAGTATTTTAAACCTATGCATGATATCAGTAGATCGATATTATGCGATCACAAAACCTTTGGAATACGGTGTAAAAAGAACGCCAAGGCGTATGCTTTTTTTTGTGTTTTTATTGTCTGGATGAGTGCTGCTTTTATATCCCTTCCACCTTTATTGGTTTTGGGAAATGAAAAAACTGAAACGTCATGTTCAGTTTCACAAAATCAGGGTTATCAGATATATGCTACTTTTGGATCTTTTTATTTACCTTTGACTGTAATGGTGGTCGTGTACTATAAAATATTTAGTGCTGCAAGAAAAATTGTTAAGGACGAGAGACGCGCTCAATCACATTTAGAGACTCATTGTTATTTAGAAATAAATGTTAAAAACGGTGGAGGCGCTGAAGCTAGACTATTAGGAAGTCAGCCTACTCCTATACCGCCTACTCGAGGTTCTACTGCAAGCACAAATACGACGGTAAGTTTTACCTAACAAACTAAATTTATAATCCTAAATATATGATATTATACATTTTATTAATATTTTTATTGAAAAAATTATAAAATAGCATGGTCTATAATATTGTGCTCCATCAAAAAATGGACAAATCACATATTTTAAAATAAGCATGTTATATAATAACATACGAATACTTTAAACTAAAATCCAATGGCAGTTCTGAGCTTATTTTCAATTTACAATATTACTAATTATTTTGATATAATAATTTAAAAACTTTGGTCGAATAGCAATAAGGTTTATTACTTATATATTATAAAAATTAAAAAACGTAAACTTAATATTTTAAAAAAATATGTTATTACAACTTGCTTGGTAATTTTAAATCACTTAGATAGAAGTTATTTGTATACTCTGCGACATTTATTCACCCAACTATATATTGCAATGCAATATTTATAATATTAAATTCTTTAAAATATGGTGCTAAAAAAATATTTTAAATTTTTAATATAAATATTACATTTATAAATTATTATTTTAGTTATATATACAGTCGTAATAACAATATAATATCATAGTCAAACTGTTAAAATTTTATTTTTGTTACAGTGTAGTATAGAAAAAACGGAAAGTTCAATAGGAAGATGCTTTACAGGACAACGAAAATCAAATGAATCGCAATGTCCTATGTTAACAGTACAGAAAATTCCAACAAAACCTATTCATACAATAAATCGCCCAAACTCTCAAATGGTTCCCACGCCGGAAATTAAACTTCCACCTAATGAAAGACGGAGGCAATCTTCTGAGAGCAATAATAAATTATCAACTAGCAGAATTCGATCATCGTTATCTAGTTTTGCTCAAAAAAGTCACTTTGCCAAAGACTTATTACAGCAAACTCATTCACCGCATCAGAAAAAGTTACGATTCCAATTGGCTAAGGAACGTAAAGCCTCAACAACACTCGGAATCATTATGTCAGCTTTTATTATTTGCTGGCTACCATTTTTTGTGTTAGCCCTTATCAGACCATTCGTTGCAGAGGATACTATCCCCGACGCTGTGAGTGCACTTTTTCTTTGGCTAGGATATATAAATAGTCTACTTAATCCAATTATATACGCAACTCTGAACAGAGATTTCAGAAAGCCTTTCCAAGAAATACTCTTCTTCAGATGTTCCAATTTGAACCATATGATGAGAGAAGAATTTTACCATAGCCAGTACGGTGGCCCAGATCAACATTACTGTGTAAATAACTCGTCTAAAGTTCAAAATTACGAAGAAGGTGTCGAAATTGTTTCGGCTGTGGACAGGGAGGAAACGAGGGCCTCAGAAAGTTTTCTATGATTGTCAATACCCAAGGTCAATATGGACCTGGATACTGTGATTTAATTAAGACTAATATCGAGGTGTAAGTGATAACATTTGTCTTTAGGCATTGGCATTACAATTTATGTTACGAGCCAACTAGTCGTACTTAACTGTATACCTTATTTCTTACGACACATTCTGTCCGAAATATCTTCTGTATTAATGATAAAATGAATGTTATATGGTAGGAAATTATAGATATTCAGTTACAATTTGGAGGATATTAAAATAAGTTAGATATATTTCGGATTAACCAAAGAGTAATTATTGTTAACTAAAGGAATTTATAACATTAAAATGTTGTGATTTTATTGGTTGGTATTATTTATATTTTGTATTGTCGTGAACGATGTAATGACAATCAATTTGAGCCAGTATTCTAATACATGTGATAGTAGGTTAGTGCCGTTCTGTTTTATTTTTAATTAATCAAAATGCTTTTATGAATATTGTTAATTTTGCCTGTCTAGTGTATACGATAATTTTATTTGTATTTCCTAGCAGTGTTTCATTATGTATTTTCCTTCACCATATTGTAAAATAAATGGCACTGCCAGAAAAAGTAATAATTATATTTAATGAAATATAATTAAGTAGTCATTCATACACAAATCATAGAAAAAATGTTTAGGTATTAATCTGCTCTATATATGGTTTGCGATCACTAGGTGTGTTTTATAATATTTGTATTTTATTTATAATATTACATATTTTAGAAAAGGTACATCAGAAAAGATACTTTTAGCGAAACATTTTATTTATCATTATTTGTATGTAGTATAATTATTTTGTCATTTATTAATATTTGTCATTTGCGCATTGATAATATTAAATAATATAATAGAACAAATGCATGTAAATATCATCAAAAATAATATTAATGTATATGTATATAAAAATATAGAATAAAAGCAGATACCGTGTGGGGAAACTACGCTTGGAAAAAAATATAATGATTTTGACAGTTGAATTTGATGTTGTATTTAATGGAATTTAAAATAAATTTCTTTGATGTAGTTTCTTTCCATAGAATATTATTATACTGTTTGATTAAAATATTCATTAAGTAGATAAATTTTTATTCTAAAAGGTGGTATTTTGCTCTGTTTTAGTCATTTCAGTAATTTCAGATAAAATACGATTTTAGTAAGTACTTCGTCGTTAAAAGCACTTCAATGGAAAAACATGTCTGAGAACTTCGTAGAAACACCTATAGGTATAAATATATATTTATACGAAAATATTTTGACAGGTAATCATTTTCACTTGTTTTAGAATGGCTAAGTTGTATTACATATATAATACTACAAGAAGCTGCAAATTATTGCCCTACTTTCTATATGAAACATATTGTATGAAAATTTTATACTATTTGACAGTCTGCTGACTATGTACATATGTACTTTTTCGCGGTAAATTCAGCCATATCAATCCTGATCATTTCACCCATTTTTTTACCTCACAAACTATCTCAATTATTGTTTGGAAATAATCATATGCAATACTACCGAAGGCCAAAGAGTACTAATGTATATTTCATCATTAAATGTAAAATAAATCTCTTATAGACCGGTGATCTTGTACCGGATCTAAATTTGTTGTAAATATTCTAATAAAATACTTGGACATCTTCCAACAGAGTAGTTAGTATAAATGGCCTTCATTTTAAATTGATAACGCTGCATAAGTAAAGTCATCTATCAAGTATTTTTTGGAAAACATTAAAAAATACTACATATCTTCAACCGACCGACCGAAAAACTTGTTCAAATTGTGATATGGATCATAAATCTATTAAAATAAAAATAATTTTAAATATAAATGAAAATAATTTGAAAGAAAATACGGGTTATAATAAAAATTTCCAAATGGATTTTAGCCCAATTTTTTAATAACTTCATAAAAGTTATATTCATATTGGTAGCATGAATTTTTTTCCATTGTAATCATTTACTCTTTATCTTGTTCACAGAGATTTTAAATTTCCTGACTCAAAATGTTACTCTTAATTAAAACTGCGCCATAAAATCGAGATTCATCTGTCTGTCAAAAGTTATTTCGAAATGTTTGATATTTTGTGTGTACATATAATGAAAAAAAATGCAATTTCCCTATGTTTGTTAAAGGCAAATTACATGTGCCCGTAATATTTTCGATGCTTAAATCATTTAATTATGACAAACAATGAGTACACTTATTCGATTTAATTGACTCACGGCTAAATTGCAGTTGAGGAGTGCACTTGGTGATTTCTTTTATATAAAAAATATTAATTAATTATGTAGATTATGTTGCTGGGGTATTCTATCGGGATATAGAGTAATAACTCTATATCTTAACTTTGATGCAGTTAAGATTATATTTTGCCTTGAAATTGCTTTGACCGATGAATCATTTATTTGAAAATGTATTTTCTCTCTATAGTGCAAAGGTAATCTTAATATCTGTACATCCAAATATTAATATTAGGTTTCAATTGTAAACTGATTTGTATTATTTATAATTTGTATCTATCAAACATATAATATGTATGATTCATTATAACATTATACTGTGCCATTGCGGATTTGTGTAATTCCATAACTTTTTATTCCTTTAAGGAATAAATAATAGGATGGAAGATACAAAAAATTGTTTCACTCAAGACTTAATTATAATTATGTGCAATAACTTTCATGTAATATTATTACCAAATGGCCTATTTATATAATTTTCTTTGTAGTGTTATATTCATAGGGAAATAAATAAATGTATTTACTTTTGGCAATGCTGCGTATATCATAATTAACTCTTATATCTATAAGTATATGTTTTTATTACAATGTGACTATACTATGAAAAATATTACCTTTAGTTATTAATGATAAATTACGCGGTGTTGCCACAATCTAAGATTGTTAAGTACAAATTATTTATTATACGTTCGTGTTATGTTTTAAATATAATACAATTGAAATGATTGTATATTTGTATAATACGTCGTGAATCAGTAGATCCCTTATACTAGACATTATTGTATTTTTCTTATGTAAAGTGATGAAATAAAAAGTAGATTGGGGAGTTTTTGTTTTACTTTCCCAGTATTGGCCTTTGAACTAATAAAACAAAGTTCTTAGTATCATGAGGTTGTGGCTTATGTTCTGCTCCAACATTTTATGTAGTTTCTTTGTATAGAATATAGATTCTAAACAGACATGGATATAATAAAAAACAAATTGCTTTTGATGGTACAACAAAATTGAAGCATTTCTTAAGTTTGTTAAAACTATTTCTTTTGTGAGTATTCTTTGATATTGATTAAAAGTATCTCAAAACATTTAAAAAATTGAAAATTGAAAACAAATTCAAACACATACATACTAATATTTATGAGCAATTCTGATTAACAAATTATAAGCATTTATGTCCTATATATAAAAATATGTAAGCCAAGCAAGAATTCTTTATAAAAGTAAAAAGTTAAAATAAAAGTACTGTTTTTGGAAGTACTATCGTGTTTTTATTATTTTTAACTACATACTCCCAACATTTCGATTAATTTCCAGCAACCGTGATCACTGGCATACGAGATGACAATGTCTGTCAATTGGTGTTATACAAAAGTATATACATATATATACCTATATATGTATATACTTATACATATATATATCTAGGTATATACCTACATACCTATATATATATATATATATATATATATATATATATATATATATATATATATATATATATATATATACAGGTGTCATTGTTAAATAATAGTATGAGTAAAATATTCCCGGAACTCTGAATTTAAATTATGTCAATATAAATATAAGTAAAAATTTCAGTATGCAGCGATAACTTTTTACTGTTCCATAATTTTGAAACCTCAAATTATTTCATAATGACTCACCAGAATAAATGTATGCTTAGCACTTTACTATGCAAGACATAAATTTCACAATTCATCTTAAAAAAAGTTTCATCCATGAAACACTTTAATTCAGACCTTAAATATAAAGCACAAGTTTGATATTTCATTGAACATTACATTCTATTAGATTCTCAGTTGTTATAATTAGATGACTATCCATCGCATGCTATCAATCATATGGGATAAGCCTTCGTTCGAATATAGACTGTTTACTATAATTTACATCAGTCCCTAACAATAGAAGACAGTGTCCTTAATGGAGTATGGCTTAGTAAATATCTTCTGTATTTGTTATAAAAATATCTGAAGAATATCTGAGAAAACAAAGTTATACAAACATATGTATACGTCAGAATGTCTATCTCGCTTGCCCTTTTTAATATTTAAATATTTCCAGACTTATTATCATTAGCAAATATTATATTCAGAACGTGTATACTGATATTACTGTTAAAGAATTTTCTTATATTGTTTATAATAATTAATTGTCTTAGTTTTGGTTTTAGGTTTTATATAAATTTTCGTAATTCTAGTAAATACTGTAATTATTTATTCAAGATACTGTAATTATTTATCCGAATATCGAAAACTGTTTTGCCTACCACAAGTCTTACAAGACACATAGACGTTTTTTATAATGTCTAAAATAAGATAGCTATATTAAGTTTCTTCATATGTAATCAGATTTACAGCCGCCTATACTTTTTTTAATTAAAGCTGTCACTACTTCTTCAACGATTGTTATAAAAAGATAATTGTGTTAATACAAAAAACTTTAAATATTTAATAATGCAATACTCAACAAAGACAATTTTTTGTCAAATAACCATAAAATGACGTTTTTAAAACACATATATTATTTAAATTACCTACATATAAAACCTTCAACACCTAATGAGTTATTTTTTATAAAATATCATTGTAATCAATTAAACTATTTCAAATATTATAAAATATGAACAATGGTTTTAATCATTATTAAAACAACTCCCGTTTTCAGTTGAAAATTATAATATCATATTAATTTTATAATAGACTTCAAAACCATTGTGTCGCATAT